ACCTGGAAGTATTTGCTGATTTGTTGCTTGCTAACAACAAACCACATGAGATTCGAATGCATCGTTAACCGAACGGTGCTCACTTGAAGGTTGGTCGATGGCGAAACTGCTAAAGTTCTCCAGAAGAATTCGTGCGGAATTTCATATTTACATTTGACTATCTCGCATTTGGCAACCTGAGATGTGAAATATAGAACTGCTGTGAAGCAACTGTAATATTTAGAGTCAATTGGGAAATGTTCGGGACCGACTGGGTAGTCGTCGTTTCAGAGAGGTTTGGTAAATGCACCGATTGTTGACGAAACCACTCTGAAACAACCTTAATATTGATGGGAACTGATATCCATTCGTGTGCCACTTTAGCTCAACATATTGCCGGTCAACCAAGCGAAGCTCATGGGTGTCCTATTTCTGGTGTAATAAAGAGAACCTATGAGTTATCGGCAAAGCTTTTTGTCTGATCTTGGCCCTACAGACGACTGGGTGATCTTAAGTGCGATAAGGATAGTATTAGACAGATTGCTCTACGCAGGGCGAACTAAAAAGAACAACTGTGAAAGTTCCAAGTTTGATAATCGTATTGGATTGAAATTGGAAAAGTTTCCGACAATGCAATTTACGCACGATGTACAGATTGGTCGGTTTCCCCTTAGTCGATACGGCGTAGTCTGCTTAAATACGGATTCAAGGTCTGCTTTTATGGGCACCATTTTACTCAGATTAGTCAAATCACTGCACACATCTAGTGAGAACTTACAAAGCGCCATATTTCCCAGTTGATATCACGAATGGAGACATACTGCTGCATCATGAGCTAAGTTGGGTTTTTTTATTGTCTATCTGATGTAGATACAATTAAAAAAACCTCCAAGAAGACCTTGTTGTCTTTGACGGCGTCGTGACTTTGGAAAGACGAACTGAGCCCATGAGGAGAAACACTCCAAGACAACCGCTCTGTGGAGACAAGAAACCATCCTGAAATGGTTATTTTCCTGATTTTCTTGATAAGCAGCCTCGGCAGTTATGTTGGTACGATTACACTGAAGCCGCTTCCACTGCTGTATCACCAAGTTCCAGATACCTCAAGGCACTGAGACTCGACGGTTAATGTACTTGGTTGATCGTTGCAGTGGGTCGGTTTTATATACATGCATAATTGCAACATTACTACGTAGGTCGCATGTGTCTGTAACATATCGCCTAACATGTCGGTACCTTAGCAGCAGCAAAGTGCACCGGGGCACACAGAATCAATGTTCCCTTGATCTGTGGATATTAAAGTGCCATAAGTGTTCCATTGCTGGTCCGTGATGCAGATCTTCTACCTCAGATCATTTTGAAGAATTCTGATCATCGCCATTCGAGAAACATTTGGTAGTCGACATTTCAAAATGATGCCAAGCAACCACTAAGTTATCAAGCTTTGGGTAGGTCAGTCAGTGTCAGTCAGGGAAAAGTCGCTGACAAGCAGGTCTTTACTGAGGTTAAACAATTTTTAAAGTTCAGCCGGTTATTCTCAGCTTCTCTTGTTCAACACTGGTCACTTCTGGGTAGACGTATTGCAAACAGAGGTGAAAGTAGATAACTGTGAGCCAACCTGATGTTCGGCAGGTCGCTAGTGTCGAAGCTATTGCAAACAGAGGTGAAAGTAGATAACTGAGAGCCAACCTGATGTTCGGCAGGTCGATAGATGTCGAAGCATTGTTACCTGCAGAATCTGCACTGTCACCTTACGCATCGATACTACAGCTGGTGTTGAGGGTGCGTTTCTTTGAAAAAAAGACAAAGCCGGAAAATATAGTACAGTATTGGAGATAAGGCCTTGTTAATCAGTCGAAAATCTCGACTGCCGGTTCATCATGGTGAGACCTCCAAGGCATGTAGCTACCTGACTGACTGCCGGGAGTCTGTCATGATTGAACATGCCTCTGCTTACTGGTGGTCAGTGATTCTCTGCAAATTTTATTGGCTGCAGTTTGGAAATGCACATCGGCACTAACCATCCGTACAGTGTATTTGTAACCGTTCCAATTGGCAAGAGGATCACCCGGAATTCCTAGCAGGCAACAGCGCATGACAAAAGCAGCTCTGTGTGTCCTGTGTCCAAGCGAATGAAATCACAGGACCTTCTGCACAGCACAATCATAGATACCCACAATGAACAGTTCATCAGTCAAACAACAGCCGCCAAGTCGACGAAGCTTAGCGAGGGTGCAGAATGATTCAATTTACAGACCAACTAGGCCCTCGGGAGAAAAAAAAGTCTGCTTGCAATTCATCGTACAATCCCAGTAACCTTCTGGTGATAGCTGTGGATAATGCTGAGTGAGTTTATCTAAAAGCGACAGTTTCCATTAAACTGAGCTGTGGTAATCTTGTGACTGTCCACAAGTTGGTCTGAGTTATGCATTTTCCATCCAATACAGGTCAAGCACATCTAAGCATACGCAGTCACTAATGTAGCGTTTGTCGATAAACTTGCACTTCAGCTTGCCAGGTTTCTGCCAAAGGCGTTACAGGAGCCCCTCCTTTGGTTGCTGTATGGCGGAATGAGCAACCAGACGCCAGATCTGCGTTGCGAATTCTGCAGTTCGTCCAGTTAGAGATGGGCCTGACTACGCTGATGTGCATGCTATTGAATTTGCGTTGCTGAACGATACTGGTCGCAAATCTAGCAAACAATACTATGGGACATACACCCATGCCAGGCCCTGCTTTTTGGTTTTCTTTTTGCATTGGCATTTCTAATGGCTTGCATTTCGTGTATCATATCATTCACCGACAGTGTGATCGGTTTTGACTAGGCGTGTACGGGATCTCTGAATTTTCGACCCTTTAGGAACAATCCTGTACATCAAATCTAACTGGATAGGCTGCTCGACTACTAATAAATCGGTCTTAAGGTATATTCTATTGAGTTCCAATGCAGCATCAGCCGTGAATTCCAATGAATTCGATTCAGAAACTTGTCCTGTAAGTCTTGACTTTGTTATCATTGAAGAACAGCCGTGGGTGTGAGGTACTTGTTTTGATCTTCAATCAGTCAAGTGCATACTTCGCCAAACGTTCCGGTCCAAGTGTTGAAATCTTCAAATTCATTCTTATTCTTACTGAGATGCTCGTGTTTACAATGAGTAAGGAATTCTACTCACATAAAATCTCTGCGCCAGAATCTTGGTGTTACCAGCACCATCGTGGTCGACTAATATTCTGGCGAGTTACTGTGTTGAAGTACTTGAGTGTGGAAGGCTGAACTTGGCATTGTGCGTTCAGGTTGTAGTCGTTTGTAGTGGTCGCGCAAATACTATGCCGGTTCCTGGTCTTCTATTCTGACAACCATGGTATATCATAACCAGTAGTGTTCTGAGCCTTTCTGTAACCAGACCAAGCATCATCACTATAGTTGCATTAGTGGTTCCATTAGTAGTATCCTCAATGTGATAAGAATACACTAAAATTACTACACTTAGTTCTGTAAACCATGTACGGTTACATTCATTAACAGTGAAATAATGAGGATGGGAAAGGGCATGGTAAAAGTTAGGGCCCGTGAGTGAATGCGATTCATTTATCGATGGGGATTAGGGAGGCTAAATCCAATGTACTGAAGCCAGCTTATTCACCTATAGAAGTTTCTCACAGCGAATCCCTGCCGCAAAACTTATTCACACCTAGTCTAGACGAAGAAAAGTCGAAAACCGCGGTCACGAATCGAATTTATTCTGCATTCATTCTAGTCTGATCGCCATGCATCCGCTCAGTGGATGAGACATTAGGTTATTCGAAGCGGCTTGTCTTTAACCAAGAGAACAGATAATAGACATCCAAGTTGAGCAGCCGGTGAGATGATCCAATAAATATTAACAGTAATTACTCCCAAATAAATCACTTTAAGGAGAGGGGCTGTTTCATCTACTACAGTTGTTCATTCCTTCTCGGGTTGACTTTTCTTGCATTTTGTCTCCTTTCTTTGGATCCGTAAACCCAAGCCTGTAATACAGAGAGTGCCACTACAAATGTGCTAGTGCAGTTCCTTCCTTACCACAACGCCCCTCTTCGAAGACTCGCTACACTCAGGAACGAAGCTCTGAACAAACTCTATTCGAACTTCATACCTCCAGTGAACAATTTTGCGCGAGATCCGGGTTTTTTGAGCGACATTACAATTGCACGAATAGTACGTCTCGCACCTTTTCAGCGTGGAGACTGCATGTTAGTTTGTTTCCAATAAGTGAGCACAGCTGGCACCCATACAAGGATAGAGCATCACAATCACGCCTTCAGGTGGTTTTTAGACGGGACTCCGTTTCACGTACTTGTGGGTTCATGAAGCGAAGTGCAACTCACCCAGAAAAAAACGCTGAGGCAGGCTGCATACTATCGGACGTAGCCTGCAGTGTTCATACTTCGTGTCCTAACTTTCAGAAGATAAGTTGGTTGAAACGCTGTTCGGATGGTTGGTGGAAACTCTAGACAACTAGCTACTCGTTTCTTTTCTCTTGAGGCTCATCAGATAATCCTAGTCCATAGCTTTCCAGCAACGTTCTTTCTTACATGAGTATATTTTGCACGCACGCTGTGGTAAACACTCTTTTGTAAAGCAATTTGATTTCTCAATAAAGATTTTATCCTGTCAGTGAAGCCTACATATGCTGAAAAGCCGAGAAGCACATGAGAATCTCACAAAGTTCGATTTTCGAGCCCACGACCATCCGGTCAGTGCTTGAACATTTAACAACTGGGTAAAGAGCTGCTGATAAGGAGTGTCGTTGGCTCTTACTTGGACAGAACACAGCACCACTCTCCGTCCAATCACAGAAACCACATGACGTGGCCAGGTACTTACTGGCCTCTCAAGTGACGATTTCTTGGAAGGAAGTTTCACTCGTTTTGTGAAACTATACTTTCTCTGAGCTATTTATGCATTAAAGGAATCACCTGAATATGGAAGTCGTTGAGCTACATTCGGCTGTATCTCAACTGCCTCTGGTCATTTGTAGCCACATTATCAGGAAGCTGACTATGCTGCTGAAAGCGCGCACATGCAATCTTGTCAGCCCAACTGTGACGGCAAAGATAAACGTCATGCCAAGGTACGTGGGTTGGACAAATCAATTTTAAAGATTTATCAGAGCAACATTTGTTGAGTGATACAGCAATTCGCACTAACTTCAAACTGCTTTCGGCTGGTTGCCGTACTTTTTCGTGTAAGAGTTGAATAACCGTAGCCAACAGAAGCCTATGGAACACAGGTAAAGGGAATTGCACAGTTAGATAGCTTGGGGGGCCTTCTGCATCATGGAACGATCTACCAGTATTTGAAGTTTGGTAGATTAAAAACGGTGAAAGTTCTACCACGCCACTAGTGCACACTTGGCACCAGATTCCTAAAAACAAAAAATATATATATATATATATATATATATATATATATATATATATATATATAACACTGGGTTTCATTTGTCCATTTTAACAATATAACAATAAAACAAAGGCTCTGGATCGCCGATATTTTGCTTTTATCTATTTAGCTGCAATTCTGGAAACCAACAACTTTACATCATATATAGGGATAAAAGGCAACGAAACAGTGTAGCCTGGCTAATCGTACGGCAAACGGATAACTTGTTTCAGGGTCTTTTGGGCACATAAACCGGGTCAGTATTGAGCGGCCAATATGGCCTCATTGAAAACTAACAACTCAGAGTTGACATCACGCAGTAAAATTCTGAACGCTTTGGTGGAGTCAACTGTGTCCAGTGGACAGATTGAGCTTGGTGATAAATGAGGTAGGTTTTCGGGTCTCAAACTGCTGATCATCGGCCTGTTGATTGGTCACCTGACACAAACAACGAGGCAAGTGTTCCAGGATGCGTGTGCAACACTTCTTCAGCTGATTGAGATTTTGTGGCCTATACAGCTGTTGAAAAATAGTTAGTAAAGCGCAGCTTTTAAAAGGACCACTAACAATTGAAAAAGTAATCAACTAGCATTGACAGCATTCTTAGTCAGTCCAAAAGGTTCTCATGAGTTACGTTCTCCTCTTATTATGGTCGACCGACAGATATGCCCTCAGTCCAGTAATAATAATGATAAGAGTAATGGTAAAAATAACAATTCATCGCAAGATTAACGCGCGCGTTCAGACAACGATGTTCCTCATGTTATGTTTCTATCGATTCCGAACAAGAAGACGATATCAGTGGTCGGTTCGATCAAACATACCCATCCACGGAGAGAACTTTTCTAAGAGATCCTTATTGCCCTCAGTTCGACTGACACAGACAACGATGCTCCTCACGTTATGTTTCTATCGATTCCGAACAGGAAGACGATATCAGTGGTCGGTTCGATCAAACATACCCATCCACGGAGAGAACTTTTCTAAGAGATCCATATTGCCCTCAGTTGGACTGACAGTCTTCAATGATGCAGTTCAACGGCATTACCAGAATCCATGTTTCAAGCCCGCTCCAGATTTACATGGAAATCTCGAGTTTTAATCTGTCAGTCAGAATTTTCACACACAAACCAATGAAACTTTAGACCTAGGGGGACTGACGCAATTATTCAGTAGTGGCGACTCGCTGCTTGTTGGATATAAAAGTGTCGCACATAAAAATGGATTTTTTCGCCACCCAATGTACACTCCAGATATTTCGCACAGTTTGGCACCTTCAACATGGAGTACGAATGTTAGAAATGCGCAAGTCTTTTTGAATTAAAACGAAACTTCGAGGTCAGAACTACATTCTGAAAGTAGGGCCTAATTGTGAGCCCAGCTTACCAGCTCTAATATGCACATAAAATGTAATCGATCGATAGAGCGGCAGATAGGTGTTCTGTACCTACCACCAAACATCTTGACTCAAACATATTCCGCTCGGAATCCATTCGGTGAATTCTTCCGGATGTCCCACTGACTGGTTGCACACGAAAACCCCGAAGATTCTACCATGTGCATGTGCTCCATCCACTGAGATGATCTTTATCAACATATTTTCACCTAAAAACAGCTATAATCCCTAAGTAAACTAAATTGTTTGTGCGAGTTTTACTCATACCAAGTTGGAAAGTGTAGATTTAGTCGTAGGTTAATTTCTCCGGTTAAATCCATTCGTAGCAGTCACCTCCCTCTGAAAGCTTTGTATCCACAGTATTCATGAAGACCAGGCCCACTTTTCTGTTCAACCATTGAGGGAGATTTCAGCCATCAGCCGTATACTTGCTTGTTGCCCTGCTGAGCAAGAACAGCAACAGACAGCTGATGGTGCTGTGCTCCGTGGCATTTTGAGGTTAAGATTACATTGACTGATTTCGTATCGAAAATGTTAATATTGAGAGTCATGTGGAATGAGTGGCAAAGTCCTATAACACAAAATTCAGCTGTTAGATCCTGATAACACAGACTAATGGAAGAATAGCTTTGTATCGCCCCCTTAATTTCCCGAATTAATGTCTCATGTCTTCGTGTACCAGTAAAGCTTTGGAACATCTTATGGATGACCTTGTCCCTTTAGGCGGATAATTTAAAAATGCCACACTATTTAAGCGAATTATTAAGTTGATTCTACCTTGAGTTGCCGCTCCTGATCTGTGAATGTCACAAAAATTGAGCAAACTGGGATGTAAGTATTTCGTCAAACTTGAACTCTTCAGTAATTTGGTTATCACACTTCAAATACGGTGAGTTTAACATCTCCGAGATTAACAGTGTCATCAAATTGAGGTGATGGCACTCTTTCTCAAGAAATTACTCTTCAGTTCGCGTTATCTATTAACTTTCGTCGCTGGCTTCAGCCAAGACTGGGATACAAAATTTCGGGATAGTTTATAGGTGGTAAAGGTGTACTAATATCTAAAATATGGATTTTGTCACTCAAAGGAATGCTGGGAAGTCAAACGACCCTGTGTAACGTTTCATCTGTTTTGTGAACTGTCAGCAGTACAGATATCATGAACCTTCAATGGCTTTGCCCGCATATTTCTTTGCTTAACGCCTGAAGACGCCTAATACTATCACAAGCACGGTTTATTCATAATTTGGAGCATATCTCGGTAAATCCTTGTTTTCCATGACATGTTAAAAGCTTGTGCCACAAAAGCCTGAAATAGTGTCGAAAAATCTGGTGCAATTGCAACTGATTGATGTAGGTGGTCATGGAGTGACAACTCAAGCAATCTGTGGGAGTAAAAGCTCACATGAGTAAATAGATGTAATGTGTGAGTGATACTTGTGAAGAATGACATGCTTGTGATTAGAACCCAACAGCAGCGTGCCCGGAATAACTGAAGTGGGATGTAATTCCAAGGCCAGTTGTCTACAGTTAAGATGTTAGTCAACGCAACACACTAATCATTCATAATAACAGCCTGCGCGGACTGAACAAATATACACCGATATTACAGGTAGACCTGGCTTTGACCCCCACAAGTGGATCTTTACATGCCAGACGGACTGTTCTAAAGTACCCTTGTATACGAGCCATCAGTACCCAGGCAGACACAGCAAAAAAACAATAGATCTGAGGGCATGAATCACGGCCAGCTTCTCTTATATGTGACATCGCACCGGCAAACTGTGGTGAACATGACTGATACTCTTTTCATTGCTCTATTCATTATTCTCTTGTTTTAATATTCCATATGCTGTACATATTCGCCAATTCGAATACACACGTGCTGGCTGTTACGCTGCGCTAAATTCTGGATTTCTAGTTCGTCTGGTTATAACGATATGCGATATATATACGATATGCGAAACTTAATTTGCACACAAACCCTGCTACAGTCCTAGATCCATCCAGAGCACTTTAAACATGATTAAAACCAGTGATTTCCATTCCCTTCACACTATCTGAAGTAGTTATGACAAGGAAGACAAACACGCTTAGACATCGACTTCCTTCCTCACGGAGAATAGACAACACTTGAGGAACCGACTACATCATACCTCAACCCACATAACGGCACGTCAACCAAAACACCAATATTATCGGTTTATCTCATCGTCGCAACTAGCTTGTTCATCCATTTCTACAGCTCCTCTTGCGGTCCACTTCCACAGCGGCAGGAGCGAAAGTCAAACGGTTTTACCAAACAGTGAAACAAAGGAGGAACGGCAGAAAGGGTAACTTAGCAGCGCCACCTAAGAGTTGAAAGGGTGGAATAGATACAGAAATAAAAAAACCTCCGGCATTCACGCTCAATTCACTTAACTTATGTGCATCCAATTGAGCTTTAGCAAACAACATCGAAAGCATGCATTATCTGTCAACTTTTTGTATTCTTGCACACATTTTTTGTTCGTATTGGAGGTCCGCTTTAGCGACAATCTACCGACTACGCTACGCTAGGCAGTCGTTGCAACGAGCTAGCCTAAATTTTGATGATTGCAGCCCATTTGGTGAGATGATATGAATGCTATCAAAAAATTTTTAGTAAAAATTTTCTCCATCGTGACGATCATAATAGCGTCTTGTTTAGCCTACAAGCCAGCTGATGGGAAAATGTCGACTGAAAAGGAATAGAGGACACAAACAAATGCTTAATGATCCTCAGCAGATAACCCATTAGTTCTTAGCAAATAAGTGTGAGGCTTACAAGCCCACCAGTTTTCAGATTGTAAAGAAATCCGGATTTAACTTTTGATTATGGAACGGTTCACCCTCCTGAGCCTCCTGAAAACCGCGAAATCCAATGCAGCAGTAACGCCAATCTTCGACATTCCCAAAATTCCCTTCGCCTCCCCCATTCTCACCTTTGGATGGATACACAGAAGAGCGATTGAATTTGGCACTACCACAAATTATCGGGCCCCCGTTTCATCAGAGGTTTCGGCAACTGTTTTGCTTCCTTTCGCTTTGGTAACTGTCTGGAACCGCTAAAAGGGCTTGGATCGTTGGTTTTTCGGACCACTTGATCACCAGAGAAAACATTTCGCACTGGACGAGGGACTCTCATCGCCTTGACGCACACCGAGTAAATTATTGGTATCATTCAAACTAACATGGAACGGCGCGCACTAGTGGTTGGGAAAACTGCTCACTAGATAGTTTGGATGGACGTGCATCCAAAAGGTATGGTGAAGGTAGAGCCGAAAATAGGACCGAAGCTGAAAGTACTGCGCTCATATAAAACCAAACACGGCGAATCAGAGCGAACAATTTCACTGAGTTTCAGCGTCGGCCAACTAGTGGAACACACACCAACTATGTTTTGTCCATTGCTCATCCGGCAAATGTGATTTCCCGCAAAGCCGTTGAGTATGTGAAAAATTTTTGGACAACAGATGGCATGTATGTGCATACTGAACCAGGCCCAAATGTCCATGATATAACCTTTTCAAAATCTGTTTAAATCGACCCTCAAATGGTTAGTTCTTGGCGTTCATTTGAGTTTTGCGCTCTCTGCTGTCACGAATTAGCATGTTGTTAGCTCAACTTTACATAAACCCTTGAAATCCTGTTTGCCGCCTTTTTTCTTTAGCGAAGGCCTCGACGATACGCTGAATGATACCCTTGGGGACATATAAGTGGTGTACATGCACGCAACTGACAAAGGAGGCTTTAGCGCATTTGTTCCAGCAGTAGCTCTTCTCCGAATGTGGCAAAAGACCAGTGAAGCAGAGGAATAATTAAGTAATTAGAATAAATTAATTGACTCCGCGCAGTAATCGATAGTAATCAAGTAAGCGAAGCACCAGCTTTGAAGTCCAGCTTTGTATAAGAAAGCACAAGTACCGCTGCTGTGTATCAATCTGAAGAAATTTTGAAGTGACCTATTGCCTGTAAATTGAGGACTAACACATGCAGCACCTTCCTAAGGCTTGCGGCGTACAAATTTGTAAATCCTCTGAGCACCCAGGACGTATGCAGCCACCATCTAGAATGTAACCCATCCCGTCAAATATCCGATAGGTTACTTCCATCGTGACAAACGTTAGGCCCTTAGCTCTCTGTACATTTAATGGATGTAAAGAGATGTCGTTGACAGAACTAAAGGGGTGCACTGCATAACACTGGGAGTGGCTACAACCTAACAGACCGTGTTATTCCGATGCTACCAAGACGCCACGAACGTCGCTGAATCACACGCGATCGACTGCCCTGAATAAGTCCTTTGAAACGGGACACCTTCGGCTCTCTAGCTTTTTAGTCAGTGATGGCACGAATACAGTTCATCTAATTTCGTCGAAAATGGGTGGTTTTGCACGTACGTGTAAACAGTTTGGCTTCTTTAGGAGATAGTGGTGGAGTGGCCTAAGCTGTGTTCGACTGGCGTTACACCTCTTTATTCTCGTGCGTTCCAGTGAACAGCAAGTTCTTCGCGCCGCAAAAACATCGGAGTATTCTAGTTATTGACAATATCCGTCACCTGTCAGCAGGTGTTTAAGCGCATAAGGTGTTCCGATAGTTGTACCTTTAGCGGTCCCTTTCCCGCTTTAGCAGCACAGAGCCCACAGCACAACTTGTAAATACTGCGACGCATGGACACACCATTCTTCTCTGGGTTTACAGTCTACTGGCTTCACGTCATCCGTAAGGAAGCCGTTCAAGCACAGTTCGGTTCACCGTAACGACGTGACCGGTAAACCGATTTAATCATTGTGTTTGTCACGAATATGCATTTACCAATACCGTTCGTTCTCAACTGAAGGGTGGTATACCATCAAGCATGACTACAGTCAAAATAGAGCACCGGTGTGGGGATTGGCGAGTACTGGGAAAATCGCGAAGGTGTGGGTGATGAAGTGGAGGAACCAGCAATACGCACAATTGGTAGCGTGAATCTCAGTCACTGAATACACTGTAAATGTAGAGACTCATTAGTGTCGCTGTTGGAGTGGAGTCGTCTGCAAAAGTTTCAAAGGGGAAGGAGTTGGTGCCAATGCACGAGGCGGAACCCGAGGTGCACAGAAAATGACCGACTTTGTGAGCAGCATAGAATGAAAGTCAGCAAGATGCACACTGGGAGTTTCAGCAAATTAGAATGAACACATCCCGAAAGTTGCTGCGGCCAGATGAAGAGATTGTTCGCTGCTGCGTGTAGGGGAACGGGTGGGGATAAGGCATCATCAGCAGCAGGAAGATAATAGTTGCTAGTGTTATCAAACTGGATATGAAAGTGCAATCCTATCGTTTCACCGACACACTTCTGTTTCTGGTGGCTCAACAGGTGAAATCGGATCACTAGACGCGAGTTCCTCATAATTGTGACAGAAAGAGGCTCCCAGGGACGACAAATACTATGCAAGTATGGCTCGCCGAATGGATAGAGTTAAGTCCTGATGGATCTGTTAACCCTAGGCTGTAAGGCCCGATTATGAGTGATGCTTGCTTCGAAATCATTGCGTATAACAAATTTCGGAGATGGTGTCTTTTGAGTACGACGTCGGCGAGCATAAGTCTGCGGGCCTCACCGCATGTAAATCAATGCCCGCCAGCGGTAACAATATTGCTAAACGCGTTTTCAAACTGGCGTTAGTAACAAATGGAGACCAAGTACAGTTATTATTACATTTCAGGCACAAACTTGTTATGTTGACGTTTTCGAGCTCTTTGTATCCCTCTGATGCCTCCGAATTTCACTTGAACTGAAGTCGCGCACCGAATTCTTGGCGGAGGTTTCTCGTAATTTTTAGTAGTTTACGTTTAACGCCTACACTTATTTTTAATCTATACGGCACCTATATTTATATACATTCGACCAATATAAAACTCGACACGTATATAAATATATAAGTACTTGGGCTTTGGTTATCAGGGTGCATCGCGCACTTTAAGGCCAGTGACAGCCATGTTGTTGTTTTGCAGGCCTTATAGGGATGACGGAGTTAATGAAAAGGGTTAATCGACACCTTCCGCCGTTGCGCGATTGTAATCAAGGGCATTCTGTCCGGTTCTAATTTTTAGGGATGCCCCTTATTCTTTGAAGCTTAATACTCAACAGATATCAAATCGAGGAGTCACATAACTTGTAAACTATGAACCTGTGCGCCAAACTGGCTTTCTGGCTGTACTGTTGAATGAGAATGTCGCCTCCGATAGTGGTGGAGTAAGCCAAAGAATCAGGTGGACGTCAGCCACGCCGACGTATTGGTGGTTCCTTAACAAACTTTCAATTCGCCCTCTCCATTCACGCTCGAGCATCAGATCTGCAATGAACGCAAGTGACCCGGAACTCATCGCACATTTCTGCAAGAACCTATGCTCTTACCAGGATGCCTCATAAATGCAACATTTCTTCTCGATACAGCTGCAACTTCGAACTGTTCAAGTTTAGGGACTTTGGCGCGCATTTCCCGGGTTACATGTCAGCAATGTATATGGGGTATGCTCTCTCATCTTCGGCGGGGACATTTCACAAGCTGATTGGGCATCGTGGACCAGGTACCGTGCTGCGCTTGCGCGTGGCCTGCGGGCGTTTGTCGGGAAGGCGATGCTTAGGGGATTGCTTTTGAACTGGAAGTCGGAGGTTTTCCCCTGATTCGAAGAAGTTTTCGGGTGCCCTTCTTAAACTACGCGGGTCACTGCAGTAATCAGTAGCGTAAACTCGAGTTACAACTCCCCGGTATTCACGGACTCACTGACTGATACACAAAACCGAGGCCTCCGCCCAAACTTTCCGAACTAGGACCGTTGTTGACTTTCAGCGATTTTTCTTCACTTGAGAGGCACAAGCGCAAGCGTGTGTGTCACTGCCTTTTGATTTCTCAGCGAGGGGCATTATTCTTACAAGCTCGACGACTTAAAGAAGCAAGCGTTCTAGAAATTATTTGTACTGGGTGCTAGATACAGTAAGAACAATTCCAAGCAGGTTTTTCCACACATCAGCCACCCAAAATGAAGAAAACGGTTGTCTGATCGTGTGCGCTATAAGCTTGAAAATCTACCCGATGTACCCGTCACCGTATGCTAGTTGGGTCAACGATGTAAAACATGTTGCCCAATCCATGTTCGAACAAAGCATAAGTAAGTATATTGCCTCCCAGAAGGCGACAATACTCCATAGGATATAGGCCAAGCACCGCGAGGCGCGTTTCATAACCAACTGATATAAGGCAGACAACCATTTTCGTAGCGGCTCGCTGGACACACTCAATGAGGGTTGCGCCTTTTGCTTCAGAAGTGGACAAATTGGTTGGCGTATTCAAAAATCGGTCTGAAGTGGGCATCACAGTGTATGGAACTCCATGCGAATAATACTGGAGAAGGTGCGCCGAGTAAACCGTGGAAGGCGAATGCAGTGGAGTGAGAAAGATGTGTTCGAAGAGAGATTCTCAAATCCTCTTGGGCACCAATCCTCGTAATGTCTTCCGGTTCATTCTCATGATGCACGGCAAAGGCGTCCACCGAGTCCTCCGCAAATGACACATGAATACATTTTTATTATCCGAAGGAGAGCGCCAGTCCAACAAACACTTTTTGCGGCGTCTGCATTAGTTTGGAGGGCATTGGCATCACAACTCGAAGATTTCGAGTCTCCCCACGTACTTGTAAGAACATCTGGAAGGCCACTGAATTAGACCAGAAACAGAAGTGATCCCGAAACAGAGCCTTGAGGAACTCCAGAGGAGACAAGCGCCGAAGCAGAGTAGGATGAGCTCGCTTCTACTCAGAGTATTCCGTCTGATAAGAGCGCATTAACCTTGAGTTTCCTCTTGAATCCCGTAAGACTTAAGTTTCCGGAGCAGCGGAGCGTGTGCTACTCGATAGGCTGCATTTGAGAAGTTGACAAACTTGGCATCCGTGTGGAACATTCGTCATTAGCTTGGGTTGAGTCTTCCATAAATACGAGCCTGTCGGCCACTTAAGAACGGTTTGGGAGAAATCCGTGTTGAACTGGGGATGTCAGTTTGTTGTAGGTGAGGTCATCTAGGGTGACCCGCTTCATAATGCGTCCCACCACCTAGTACGGTACGCTCATGAGGCAAATAGGCTTGCAGATGCTGGGCGATCGCCGGGCACTAATTTTGTGGATTGACGTGGGAGGCGTTTCCCTCAAAACAGAAAGATTGCCCTCGTAGGGCAACTGTCGAAGCACCAGGTGAAAATGCTTTGCTAGTGTTAATAACGTTCCCTCCAGGATACTTGGATGGACCCGGTCTGGTCCCAAGACTCAGAACGGGTTTATCTTGCGCAGGGTTGTCAAATATTCCCTTCAGTGAAGACCACGGTGATTCGAGGCGTTTCGTTGTTGCATTTTGACAAGATTATCTGTGATGAGATCGGTGGGGTAGAGTACAAGCCTGCATGGCGCTCTCCGTAGACTTCAGATACATCTAGTGGGTCACTTGTGGGTTACCGTTCCTGCTCCTCAAGAAGACGACGGTCGGCTTGTTTCTTTGTTGATGTCTCATGTAATCAGATGGCACATTTTTGCTTTCCCGGGTGAACTCCAATACTGCACGTTGAATTGGCGGATTTCTGATTTACAGCGGCTTCGCATTCCACCAAATCCAGCTCCTCTTCGCAAAATGTATATCGTTTGATGCCATCCAGAATCCTTGAACTCGCTTTCAGTCACGATAGATTACCGTTTTCATGGTGATGTACGACAGCTTTCTAAAGTAACATTTGCCTACGAAATTGGGTCATACGTAAATTATGGCAACTATCCGGTCAATTAGCGGTAAGTTGGAGTTCTATGGTTGAACATTTCATTCTAAATACACTACGTCCAACGGATGTCGTTGAGTTTTTTATCATGAATAACGCTCCTGGAATACGCCCGCTCCTGGAACACGCCAACCAAGTTGTCTACCCAGGACGCACGAAAGACGTCACCCTCATTGGGCGTTCCCAGCGAGCCACCACGAGAATGGTTGCCGGCCTCAAATCCGTGGACTACGAAACGCGTCTCGCGATGCTTGACCTCTTTCCCATGAATTACCGTCGCCTCCGAGGGGACCTAATTCTTAGTTATGCCCTGTTTGAGCAAAGCTTGGCAGAGTTTTCTACCGTTGACCCAACAAACACACGGCGGGGACATAGTGGGAAAATTTTGAAGCTCAGAGCACACACATTAATTGGACAAGATTTTTTCTCATTTCGGGTGGTAAGTGCGTGGAATGACCTTCCTCCGACAGTCGTTCACGCTCCTTCTAGAACCCAGCTAAAAGCACTATTAGACACTTATGCGAAACCTCACGCTGGCGAGCATACTACCCCGCACTGAGAACATAAAGAGCAGTGGTACAATTGTGACCTTCGGGTGAACGATAGCCACTGACCGACAAGAACAAAGGCCACCCGGAAAACCTGGGCAAAAGCCTCGATCCTGTGTATCAATCCGTCAATTCGTCAGTCACAAGGCACATCCTTTCGCATCCTTCTATTCAGGCAGAAGGATTGCCAACAACGGAACTTGTAGGCTACAACAAACCGTGCTTATCTTTCCTGCGATAGAAGAACTTATCTTCTATCTTCATTTTAGACCTACTGTGCTTTTCGATAAGACGAGGTGTCTCATTTTATTGTGCGCTATCTCAACTCGCTGTGTTCGTTGACCTTGAAAAACAGCTCACTTAAATCACTCACACTGAAAAACCGCAGAGAGACACAATAAACATTGACTTCGATACCTAAAAGTGGTAACTTACGAAGCGCCGTAGTTTCTGGGCCGTCACTGTCACACTCCGGATACCGCCCGCCTGAATCACTGTACCCCATGTCCCGAAGTGCTACCAGGATGCAAAGTTGAACAGTGCAGAGATGTTACAAAACAGCAGCAAATTGTACAAGCAGTGCCGGATGGACATGATTATTTTCTTCCAAATATCCAGTTAGCAGCACCAAAGAACCTAGCCGACCTTGCTTGTTTTAACCAACCTGCCACTTCCTTAGGCGCCGAGTAACTCTATCCCACCAACGTATGTCCGGTCGTCGATGTTTCAGTTTCCTTGACTTTTCAACTATAAGTGTAAATGGGATCTTATCACAAATAAATAAACTGCAAGATTTGTCCTTGTGTGGGGTGCCAACCGTGGAGCGACCTAAGCTCCGGCCTATGTACGTCGAGTTTTCCCTGCGAAGTCCTACTATAATGGCATTTTGGCTGCTCAACGGCTTTGAAACCGACAGATCGTACTGAGTAGCCAGTAAAAGAAGATGGAGCGTGGTTCTTCGGCAAGTTGTATGAAGGCTAACCGAGTATACTCGTCGAAAATAGGGTAACGCCAGCAAGTCCCAAACCGAGCTTCCCAAAACGGAATTATTTCAGTCGCCTAATTCAGCAACCCTAGCGAGTTTCAAAATTCCAGTTAAATACATCGGAGAGACGTTGCGCCCGAAAAGCCACAGGTCGGTATAACAAACTGGGTGAATCTTCAAACCGCCCGTCTCTGCAAGTCGCATCGGGAAGACTAGCCGAAGGTACTCAGCATAGGGGTGTGCCAGCAAGTCTCAAGACAAGACAATGGCTGACAAGCGTGTCAAAGTGGATTAAATTTCTGTCAACTAAATCAGGAAAACTAGCAAGATCCAAAAACCTGTTAAACGGAGACGGCATTGTCCGATGAACTTGACTCAGGTTCCTATATCGAGATGGATCAAAGCATAGCATACAAGTCAACAAAATGCAAGATGTATTCTTTGTTTGTTCATTTCCGGCTGGTCGTCGTATTTGTCAAGCAACGGTTGCCGTACTGTCTACTTTCATAGCTATGTCTTACGTGGATTCACCCACGGGGGGTCACCGCCGGGCTCCGCGGTACGACGACTACGCGCCTCGCACCAGGGAGTACTCGTGAGTGTTTTTACCATTGTACTCGGGCTTATTGCTTTGTTAATTATTTTGGAGCCGTAAACTAGTACCGGGTCCTTCCATTTCTTACACAATAGGTCTTCAGACCGTTTAGCGTGCCTGTACGTTAGTCAGTTATCAGTGGTGTTATTGAAAATTGCGTACGGTTCTACGGAATTTCCAACTTAATGGTGGCACCACCATATGACTCGGTGCAGGGGACCAGCTCGCTCGTCTATTATACAAAAGTGGCTTCATTACATATGAACTGAACTGAAGTACGTCGAGTGGTATTAGGGAGAAATAACTCACCCTCGATAGATGAACTGATCACACTGCACAGGTTCCGTTGGCTTGGCCACGTACTGCGTATGCCAGTCGACCGACTTCCTCGAAGGGCTCTTTTCGCCCAACCATGTGAAGGGTGGAAGAGAGCCAGAGGCGGTCAAACAATGACTTGGCAGCGAAGTATGAAGGCCATTACCAGCAAACTCAGCTGCGCTGGTCACTGCCGTCTTCCTGGATGGGGACCCCGAGACGGGCCACACCAATGGCTAGAGACATTATCAGACATGGCCCAGTCGCGCCCTCAATGGCGCTCGTGCATCCAAGCTATTGCCTTCAATGCATAGCTCCTTTTCCACCCCCCCCCGCTCGACATCCCACTGACAGTGCTGGATTTATGCACCAGTTTACCAGCTCGCGCGTGCAATGCGCAGCTACCTACCTCCCAATCATCGGTGAACGAAACTGTGGCAGCTACAACCAGTGCGCGGTTCTTACAGCTGACAATGATTATGGATGATGATGATCATTGCATATCCCTGGAAATGAGGTCACGGACTTCGAAATTCCGGAGTCGTCTGGTGACCGTGGGTTCCCTGTCAGATACGATCACCTAAGTTCACTAATATTTATGATGTTCCAGGAAGCTAGTAACTGTTTTCGTTTACTTTAATTCAGGTTGGGCTATGGCATGTATATTTGCCTCGCTTGGCCCTTTGTAACATTTTTACAGCTGCTGTACGTAGGACTGAACATCGCCTCAGTGACAGCACATTGTTTAGCACCCGTAGTTTTCATTCAGATGTTTGTATACTTACCAGCGTGTCAGTCCTAATGAGCTGCCACCCATCGCGAATTTGTTGCATCTTTTCAGGGATGACACCGATAGATCCCGAGGTTATTCTGGACGTAGGGATCGTCCTCGGGAATCCAATGGTTATGGGCGTGATGACGACCGCCGTCCGTCGTACGGTAGCCGTTACGAAAGTGCTGGTCCGACGAGGTATGCGGGTGAAGTTCGTGGGCGCGGACCGAACGCTGGTGTTGTTCCGAAACCTTCACGCATACTTGGTGTCTTTGGCCTTTCTCTGCGTACTGAAGAGCGCCATTTATACGATATAATGAGTGCGTATGGTCCTTTAGAGGATATCCAGATTGTTTATGACAGTCTTACAGGTGAGTCACTCCATAGATCAGGTGGAAATCCTCATGTTACTACCATAGGATCCGTATGTTCCTTGATCTGTCTTCCATGGAAAACATGTTGCGTCCTATGGACGTAAGCCGCCTTAGAATGGTCCTTCCAAATGGGTCGAAAACGCCTGTGTACCGTTCTACCTACTCAGTGGTTCTTTTAAGAACCTGGACAGCGAAACATCAGTGTCGAAGTTGATGTTGCCTCTTGTGAGGATAATAATTGATAGACTGAGGGGACGCCCTCAGGCACAATTTCCAAGGTGTATCAGATGAAGACAGCTTGCGTCGTGAACCCCAGAAAACGGATTACTGTTACCACCCGTAATTGCTGTTTATCTTTAAATTCATTCCACCATGGAATGTAGTATTCTAGTCCATAGTAGCCCCCGTTCCGTTTAATGTGGCCAATGGTCGAGACAGGGCCTCTTGTTTCCGCGTTCCAGAACTTGTGCAACTCACCACCAATGCCGGCGGGATAGATATTACCTCCCGTTTCTTGACAGAATTGGACATCTCTGGAACAGTGCCCAAAAATGGTCGAGTCAAGTTAACGCTTCCTATTCAGCCCCATGTGATTCAGTTATATGTGTGATTGTTCTTCCAGGCTTCCATGCGTCTCAACGTGGTGGTTTGTAAGCCTGCATTTTCATCATTCCAGCAAGGGCCTCCTAACCTGGTTGTCTCGTTCGCCATATTCACGATTTCGGTCCAAAACTGTCGTACAAGTCTTGAGAAGATTCCCATTGATATGGCATTACTCGCCAGATTGTTGGAAACTTAAGTGGTTCATGTTTCCAACGTTATAAGCAATGTTGATTTACCAGGGTTCTTCGAATAACTGCCCCGCTCTACCACTGATGCTGAAAAGGAGGCCGCTCGCAAATTACATCTGGAATGAAACGTTCATGAGATGTTCCAACGAGCAGCAAGTATGATTTGGCACGAGAGGACTGGTTATTCTGAGGCGGCGATGAGAAAGATGGTTGTGGCAAGACCGCCATACCACCTGCAAAGGAGCTTCATGGAACTGTGAGGTTTCGGTCGCTTTCCTATCCTATTTCATCTGTGTCCCGGTAGATGGGGCGTTAGCTCAAAATGCATGGAGGGGCTAAACACTATTCGGAAGTGCAAACTCTGACTTTTAAGTTACGCTCACCTAAACGGTCGTGTGTGGAGGACGTTTGAACCCTCGATGAGCTCGAGTTAGCTCCATATTGGAGGCGCGAAGGTGCTGACCGGAATTTCGGCAGTCCAAACTTTCGTCCCCACTGCTCGTGTCTAGGCTCGTGAAAACTGACATTATCTCATCCATCGTGCTTCTTCGAGATGAGATTGCAGCTGTGCACCAAAGTAACTGATGCCATAAACTCTAGTCGTGGCAATAAATCAGTGGAAGAAATTCTCAAACATGCCTCATGATGCCTAGCGTCCATTAGAGCTCTGGGGAAGCTACACTGCGACTGGCTCCCAAAAGGACGCTTTCAACTGTTTATTAGCCCATTCTCTGAACGGCCGTGGTTGGCCAACTTTTGTTTTATCCGTTGCTATATGGAAGGCCGTCACCGGGGTTTGTGAACTCCCTTTTTTCATTCTGCTTTTATTGCGGTCAGGTCGCTCTCGAGGCTTCGCGTTTGTTTATTTCCAATCTTTGGAAGACGCACGTGCTGCGCGAGCTGCTTGTGCGCGTGGACTGGAGCTGCACGATCGCGTTCTCCGTGTTGACTACAGCTTGACCAGTGCCCCTCATCAGCCAACCCCCGGCGTTTACATGGGCAAAGATAAAAGGTCGGTTCCCTTTCGCTACGAGCAGCTTCAGTTGTTAGAAGTAGAGTATTTGTTTGCTACTTTTCCTTTCATGGAAATTGTCAGATTAACTGTTTGTGGTTCGTAGTGTTTCGATTCCTATCGGGTTATTAAAATAGCTTGCTTTTTACATGTACACTGCACGATAAGTTCGACGCGATTTGGGGCCTGTTCCTCACCCAGCCATGGTCACCGAAGCATTGGGTGGCCGTCATCATGACGTGCTCGTGTTTGCACCGTGTAACGATGGTTTTTTTCTGACATGTCTAGCTACCATGATACAGCGGCTGTGCCTAAGGGGTGGGGAAGCGAGCAAGAAGTTCGAAAAAAGAGTAACGTGTCATGTGTCTGTGCAAGCCTTTCAGGATGAAGTTCTTACCCCTTTCAGTGTATGGCGCTCTTGTTAGATTTTGTCATGATTACCCAATGTGTTAGGGCCGCAGACACCTCGAATGTTTGAGTCGGCTCGCACTTCGCTCTTTTTTCTCAACAAGATTTTTAAATGTTGCGGACCCTAAACTGTCCGCCGTTGAACCCCACGCCGCATGGAACGCCTCAGTTCATGAGTGCCCTCTATGTTGCGTGTGAGGAGATTCCTGTACCAAATGTGCGACGGGTTTTTGAAGCTCTATTTTCTGAAGGTTCTTTCGGAAGACTTGATGGGATGTCATTTTCTACTGACTGTTTATCCCACCCATTGGCGGATCATCCTGGTCCAGTGGAACTCCATTGATAGCATGCTGCCCGCAGAATCATTCGTAGTAGCGCTAACGTACTGCCACAGTTCATGAAGACACTCCTGGAAGTGAAGTTGGTAGGGAACGGAATCAGTGCAGTGCTAGCCTGACTCGGTCTACAACATGGATAAACATTGTCACTAATATCTGGCCGATAGTTCGACTGGATTTCAGTGCAAAGCATAGGCATTGGTCCGACCCTTAAGGAGGCCCGACTTCATCATCACTCTAACCCGTTTGTCCGCTGTACATGTGGTGATTAACTGCCTTTTAGTTTGTCGATCTGAATGATAAATACTAGATGGAATTTCGAAGAAAATGGATGTTTTTGACGTTGTACACCTTTCAGGGTGGGTTATCTGACCCCGCCTGCGCTTGGCTAGAGACGTTTCAAAAAATGGTGGCTAATCGATGTCAGTGGCGTTCGTGCTGTCAGTTTCTTCACAGGTTGAGCGCTTGGAATGCTTGACATAGGCCAGTACTAGGTCCCCTTCTTCAGCCACTTTCTCTTCACGCTACGATGGTGGGGCGAGATGGTTCAAGTGGTTAGAGCGCGAATTTACTGACCGGAAGGTCTGTGGCTCGAAGCCGACCTCTGCATCGAATTCCCCCCTTAGGATTGGACAACTTGGTAGTATGCCACCTCTCGGGCAGCTGGGCAGCTAGGTGTTACAGCTGAATGATTTTTCTACTATGGTTGTACCCAGTGAAGCATTGGCGTCAGCACCGATGTTGTTGTCTCTGGTGATGGTTATCGTTACCTGGTGTCCATAACAGCGGTAAGTAACAATGAATGTTATTCAAAAATAGCAGCAGTAGCAAAGAATGGTTTCATCATTTAGAAACGTAACTTTTCTCGTGACTATTTGGATCTCATTTGCCTTTTCAGACGTGGATTCTCGGATCGAAATAGACGCTTTGGATACAGCGATCGACGCGCACCTCGTTCTGGACCATACCGCCGCTCAAGGTCACGTTCTCGATCTGTTCACCGGTCGCGTGTGGATTCGAGTAGCAGGTCGCGCAGCCCGCCTCGGGATAGCTTTGCTCGCCTACCAAAAGATGACTGGTCGGATCGGAGCCCGTCACCACGATAATCAGAACACTTCTAACGCCTATGTTCATGTTTTCGCATTTCAAACAAAATAGAACGTTCTATGCTAAGTGCAGGTCATTTTGTGTATGCCATCTGGGGGATGGTAAAGCGTCAGTTCAGTAGGCCATTATGCAATAATTGCAGCGGCCCCCTTGGATATAATGAGCTTAGTCGTAGTACATGATGTCCTCAGAGAACGCAACAGGAAATACGGAGTCTACTGAGTTTGTGGAATGACGACCGGATTTAGCCTTCACTGTGGCGGTTGAGTGGAGGGTCCCACGATTCACCTGCCTGTGGCAGGTCGGGTATTGCCAAAGTTGGGGGGCGTCAGATTTCAAACCTTCCACACGTGCATACTTCAGCAAGCGACCCCGGTAGACTTTATTCACTGACTTGCTAAGGTGACTACCGTGCGTGGTCCTGCTTCCGGACAGAGCATGCTTGTCCACTGTTCGGTATGAGAAGTGATGGTCGCGTGTTCTACCAAATTCTCAGGATTTTAACTTCAAACGCACTACCTCCCCAGGTGATGTCATAATGCAATAGGCTAGTGAGCCGAGTATCCAGTCTTAGAACGCCCAACACTAATTAACAACATGGGGTTGGATTCGCCACTGCTTCATTCTGTTTGTGGCAACTTATTGGGCCTGCCCCAAACCTGGTTATCCCAAGTGTACCCACGTATACCATACGACTACATTACCCACTCCTCGACACTGCTTCCCGCGTCCCTAGGTTACCCACCACACCCGAACGTCCTACATCATCCGTTGAATGCTCCTACTGGGCGGCTGCAGTACCATCGACTACTGTGGCGTGCCTACACCCACTACTTAGTATCTCCTACAAGTACACTGATTAAATCGATATTGTTTCTGATCATCGTCATCAGCGACAATACCAGGTGAGATGGCCGCCATACAGCCATCTCAATTTATTTGAGAAACGCGTTATAATGGGAAGGGAGGAGAAATGGAGCAGGGAGGGGGCGTAGGGCTAGTCCGCGACAGATTAGCAAGACTAATCCTGATTTTTTTTTAATTCGTGAGTTTGCTCCTACTGTCACGCTGCCATCAGAGATAACTCAGCTCCTGAGATAAGTTTAGTATTTCGAAAATTCCGGTGTCGCATCCTCAAAAACTTCACCCGGCAGCACGACTGATTTTCGTGTGAAGCATATTCCGGAGGACTGACTGACCTTAGCCAGCTTTTCTAGTAAGCCTTGAGTTTCCATCTAGGGGTTGCCTTATTTCCTCATCGACAACGAAGTTGAAAAAGAGTGGGGAGAGTGAACATCCCTGTGACTGTGAAAGTGCTTTCCATACACTCCCATGCGTTCATGTCCGTGGATATGAACAGATGATATTCACGAACTTCTGAGGCATACCCCATTGCACATGTTGAATTGGTCGACGGAATTGGACTCATTCTAGAATTCAAAAAAGCTCAAGATTGTAAGGCGCCTAAACGAATACCGCTGGTCTTACACTAAGCGGAGTGCAAAGATGTGGTCCACAAAACCCCATTCAGCCAGAATCTTGTTTGCTGTTCTCGGCTCACGTCGTCACGTGCCATCTTAGGGCGACATGAACTGTGACTAGTTTTGGCGGCCACACTTTCCCCCATTTGATGAATCGGGGAGTAGAATTGAGAAGCTATATACTGAAGGAAGTCAATGATATCGGTGATACAATTATTCTGGAGGCGCCCGGGTCGTTAGGGGCCAACCTAGACTGTTGGAGAGACTGGACTGAGCATGAAGAATAGGGTACGGGCCTCAAAATCCTGATGTTTGTGAGCAAGCCAGATGACAGTATCCGGGTTCTTGGTGGGTTTCACTTGTATCTTTAGTGTATTAGATAACTGATCAGCGGAAACCGTTAAGCGAATGGTGTGTGGATTTTGGGACTAACATTTTCAAGCCCGTCCTTCCTGGGGAAGGCAGCATGGCTGCTCACGTAAATCCAAATATGATGATTGCCTGGGGGAAACACCTCACCGTCTTCATACGCTTACCACAGCGAATAGTACATCACTCGTAACCTGATGATAAGATTATTAGTAAGATGGGGCTCATTGCTCCTAAATGGCGCCGGAATTTATGAAAGGCTTACCCGTCCTGCGTGGACATGTTGCTCCTTGTACCATGCCTCTAATATGAACTTAGTTTTTGGCTGCACAAGTGACGAAGATGGCTAAATTAACTTAACAAATAGGGAACCTCACACATTATCGGGTGCCTGATTGATAAAAACTACGGCAAAGTTCTCGTTACATTACCTGTATGACTCATGGGCGGTTGAAATTTCACGTCACCGTCCGGGAGTGCTGTACTTGAATACAGGTCAATATGTACAATTTGCCGTGAAGCATCGGTGTTGAACACTGATGTCATGCTGTCGACGATGATGATGATGATGTACATTTGGCTCCACATATTCGCCTGAGGCCTGCCGCGGAGTCTCTCATACCAGGTTGGTCCATGGGTAGAGGTCCGACGAACACAGTCTCCTGGCCCTCCAGGTTGGGGGTTGGAACATGTATGGCGACGTGTTCCGTAAAAAAA